TACTTTCCAAGTGCTGGGACTCCAGGCAGGCCCAACCATGCCAGATTTGGACAAGCCTGGTGCAAGCCAAGGCCAAGTCATAAGAACAGTGATGGGAAAAGTCATCTTTCTATGCTTCTGATGGACCTTAACTATTGTCTGTCTTCCTCCGAGGGCCAAAATAAGACTCAGGCATTTCTAACCACTGAAAGATTCACTGTTTGCTCGAGCTGGAAAGGACCACTTCGATTTTCAGGCTTGATCTTTTCTTCTAATGAAAATTATACTGAACCTGAATTCATGATCCAACTGCAGCTTTTCACTGGCTCCTATTTTGTCTACCAGCTTAGGTTCAGCTACGAGTGCTCAGGGGACTGCATTGGAATCTAGATGCTATACTTTCCAGCTCTACGTCAATTGCAAGGATGAAGTTCAAAATCACTACCTTGTTGAGCCAGGATGATGGAACAAGTGCTTAGTGCTGTGCTTAGTACATGTTCATGTTCATGGAATAAACATTCCATAAATGGTGACACTTATTAATAATGGTGATGGTGAAGGACATGAGACAGCTGAGACGGATAATGGCTCAAAACAATCTGAAACCAAGGGCCCCAGGCGACTGGAGCCGTTTCAGAGCAGCCTCAACATCCGCTGTATTTCTGCATTTTGTTTTAGTGTTTAGCAACAGGAAGGATTCATTTGTCCAGGCAAGCAAGTGTGCTTATAATCTCAGACACTAAAGAAAGTGTTTGCAGTGGGGACTGGTAAGGTGGATCAGTGGTTAGGGAACTTGTCTCACAGCCTAGCAACCTGAGTTGAATCCCTGGAACCTACATGGTAGAAGGAGAGAACTGACTCCTGAAAGTTGACCTCTGACCTCCACATTGGTACCTGCATACTCCTGTGAGCACACACACACACAAACACACTAAATGTAATAAAAAAGTATTTATAGTGCCATTGAAATGCCTTCAGAGAATCATTTGAACTTTAGATCTACCAACCTAAGCATTTCCAGTTGAAAAACCTGTGACCCAGGGACTGGCACATCTTGGCTCTTGCTGATGTCTACTGAGCCTGCTAATAAGCTCACTAGCCAGAGGCCTTGACAGCATCAGGGCCAGTACCTTTAGGAAGCATAAGTTATTTCATACAGAGTTCAGTTACCTGTGATGGCTGCTGCTTCTTCTGTTGCTGTTGGTTTGCTCTTTTGATGGATTTGGTGACCATGGGCACACCATTCAGATTCTGCTGGGACAAAAGCCATCACTGTTAGGAAGAGGATGTGGTCCAAGTACCTGGAGAGGTACCACTTAAGTGTCCCAGGACTACCCTAGGTCTTGCTACTATGGGACTCAGAGGACTTGGAGCACATTCCTGAGAGCACCCCTATATAGGGTTAGGCCCCATCTTTACAGCTTCCATCCAGCCTGGGGGAAGAAGCCCTGAAACCTAGCAATCATCACTTTGTCCTTATAGGTAAGACTAGCTTTCTGGAAGTTGAAAAAGATGAACAACTCCATTACTTCTTAAAAACACGAAATGTTAGAAATAATCTACCACAATGAAATCCAGTTCTAGGGGATCCAAAACCTTCTTCTGGACTTTGCAGATCTCTGCACTTATGTACACATACACGCAGACACACACACACACACACACACACACGCACATGCCAGACATATACATACATGCACATAAGTTAAAAAAAACCGTACAGTTTAATTGACCATTTATACTTCTTGGGAAAAGATGTAAAACCTTTAGGGAGAAAGGGTGGGATTTAATCATAATATACAGGTAAACCCTCCTCTCTTAAATATTAAGATTTTACAAATGGAATTCCCAGACAGAGGACTAAAATCCCAAGCTTAAACATGTGGCTCTTGAAATTGAGATATCTGAATTTTTGGTTTCTATAAAAACGGTTAACTTGTATTTTACTTATTTAAATTATATTGTCTTCTTTAGCTACCCAGGACTCAGAGCTATGGTTCAGAACCACCATGCCCTTGTCAGGAGCCCCAATGGCTCTTCTTATGTCCAGTCTGGTTGACTGCCTCTCCACTGTCAATCCACTGAGGTTGCAGGCCTGTAGGAAAAGCTACCAGGCATCTTGGTGCGTGAGTTATCTTGAGGGAGTTCCGGGTGATCTCAAAGCCCTGGATGGGAGAAGCCAAGGTCATACATACCTTGTTCTGCATCAGAGAAGTGAAGTCTGCAGCCGATGTGCTGAAAACAAGCAAAAGAAACAGAGAAACAGATTGGCCATGCTTGGTGAGAGGGATGCTCTTCCTCATGTTGAGTGTCTGGTATAAAGATCTTAATCTTATACTCAAGTTGTCTACCCCACAAAGAGGACCAGTTTTCCCCTAGTCTTCCCTGACTCCTGAGATTCGAGACCAGGGGCTTGCTTCCTCCCAAGGATGGAGTGGCAGCTTCATTTGAAACATGGAAGGCCCTTACAATAGACTTCGTTCCTATGACACTGTCAACCCTCATAACAGAATCAAGCCACCAGCATCTCTTTACATCTTTACTTAGCAATGGAATGTCAGAAGTGGGTACACAGGGGTCTCCCACTGTCTCCTTGGAGAACCTGTACCCTGATGGCGTCCTTACTACTTGACTCAAGAAGGCCATTGTCTAGAAACAGAAATAAGGGGCATGCTTATCTAAGGTGACAGCAGCAGAAGGGACAGGCAAGGAAGAAAACATGATGGGGAAGAATTTTGGGTCAGTGACTCAGGGAGGTGTGGCTTCTGCCTGAGATACCAGCAAAGGTGGAGGGCAGAAAGAACAGGGTAACCATGGAAGACGGTAGGAAGCCGAGGATGAAAACATTTCCTGCTGGGTCCTCTCTGTGTCTGTCCCTCTCTGTGTCTGTCCAGCTCTATAGGTTGAGTTCATTCGATATGAGCTCTTCATTTTTTTTTCTATTTAAAAGGACAAATTACAAAGAACCATTGAAAAATACAACTTTAAAATGTGTTGTATTCTGGGCTGGAGAGATGGCTCAGTGGTTAAGAGCACTGACTGCACTTCCAGAGGTCCTGAGTTCAAATCCCAGCAACCACATGGTGGCTCACAACCATCTGTAATGAGATCTGATGCCCTCTTCTGGTGTGTCTGAAGACAGCTACAGTGTATTCATATATAATAAATAAATAAATCTTTAAAAAAAATAAAATGTGTTGTATTCACCATGGAATACCCTTAAACACCATGTATGTGTAT